TTTAAATATTTCTCTATGAGGATTTAGTTAATCCCTATAAAATAAATTGCAACAAGGTTAATGTCACAAAATCCTTATCTGGGATGAACTTTTAGGCAGACTAAGCCTCATCATTTTAGGCAATAAATGAGGCTGACAGGGACTGCTTAGTCTAGCTGAGAATCATTTTTGAAAGAGGAATGTTGTTTTTAAGGCAAGAAGACGCTAGGTAAGTAGGCTTTCAGAAAAACTAACACACATTGAAAGAATTTGTCCATAGTTTCTCAGAAGAAACCAAAGCAATGGTCATCGGTGAGAAAATTAAAAAGAACTTTCTTTTTTTGCCTTTGTTTTGTCAGTATTAAGTGTACTCCCCTACCTCTTCCCACCCCCTCCTTCCTTCCTTTTGTCATCTATGTGTATCATTGTCAATCCTCTCTGGAATAAATCCAATTCAGCTGGATTTGGACCTCAGCTCTCTTGCTTCCTTCTTCCTAAGCATCCATCTGCAGCAACAGTGAGAACATGCTGTCTGTGAAGGTGCTGACAAGACTGGCAGTGGCTCAGAAGGGAAAACATATTCTAATGTATGTTAGAAATCATGTTGCAGTAATGAAGTCTGTGGCTTATGAGTGAAGATGGGATGTTCCCTGCGCACAAAAAACCCTTTTACTTGTGGCAGACAAGAACTGTTCGGATAAAATTAAATAAAACCAAAAATATCTTCTTAGCAATAGTCTTTAACTCTTCTCATGAGTTAGGTTTTCAGAATTTTTTGATAATTTTATAAAACCATTTTTAACGTGGCATGGCATAGCATGACTCTTTAGTCTAAAGAAGTGTTACTATAATAAAGCTATAGTTCTCAGATGCTTTATTTTCTGCTTAAGGACATATGTGCATATCATGTGACTGTGTGTAGATCATATGAGTATATTATGGATTAAAACTCAGAATTTGGATTTGATGGACCATACTAAAATTCAGTAAAATCACACTTGGATGCAAGGAGAAAAGAGCAACATGTGGCTTCAATTTTTCTTAAAATACACAGGGGATATTAAAGGGGAATATCCTTTAATATAATAAAGGGAGTATACCTGGGGTTTTGCCAAATTCATATTGCTTAAGCAATAGTTTAAGACTGAATTCAAAACCCAAGCAGATCCCTTCAGTCTCCTCCAAAAGGTATGAAGTAGCATTTGAACTTGGAAAGACAATGTTAATGAAAATGTTTTGAATGAACAACATGGCAATGTCAGACTTGAAGAAACTATTTCACCCTCCACAATCCAAGGACTTCTCATCTACACTTGGATCCTCACTGTGCCCTTAAGCCCACAAAAGGTTATCCCTGATTTTTGTAACTATTTCTTTGGTTTCCCATGTTCAGTGCCAGCCCTAACCTTCCCCAGGACTCTCATACAGAATTGTAGACACATGCTCTTGTATTCACTAATGTCACATCACTAAACATGAACATGCCCCCCCCAAACTATCCTGTCTTGACATTTCATAGGTACAGTGAGAAACCAGATACTTATCCAGTGAAGGATCTTGACCCTGCTCAATTTATAAGGATTTCTGTGTTATTTTGTATGTATCAGAAATGGCAATTTTGTCAGGTGAATGGAACTTAAATGGAATAGATCCCTTTGAAGATCCATGTTTCTTCTCCTAATTCATCCTATTTTCAAACTCTGAGTTCCTGTACTAGTGCCAAGCAGGCAAATGTCACCTTTGAGTCCCAGGAGGATATGTGTTGATCAAGCCTTCCAACGCTCCAACACAAAGATGCTTGGAATTCAGCAGTGCCACTTCCAGCTAACTGGCTCTGATTCCTATGAATGTAACTAGTTCTCCTCCCTGGCTGGACTGGTGCCAGTCTACTTAAGGAGATAATTGACCACAAGCCAGCCCGGCTGACAAGCTTCCTAAGTGCCAGATGCCAACTGTGCCAATTCTGGCCCTTGCAGGAGGGCCTGTTTTTGCCACCACAGATATTGTAGACTTGTCTTCCCTCAGCCCTTAGCTCTCTTCTTAGTTTTCCAGGGAAATAAAATCAAATAGATCATTCCAAGTGAGTTTCCTTCTACTTTTAAGGACACCTACACTAAGAGCTCCCTCTCTCCTCATTGCATATCCTGTATTTTTTAGGTGTTCTGTTCATTCAATGTGTGATATGGGCTAAGCAACTATAGCCTTCCCAAAAATATTTATCTATCTATCTATCTATCTATCTATCTATCTATCTATCTACCTATCTGCACTGGGAATTGAACCCTGGGGCCTCCTACATGCTAGGCAAATGCTCTACCACTGAGCTGCACTCCTAGCCTTTTACATTTTTATTGATTGATTGATTGATTTTATTTTTGAGACATGGCCTCACTATGTTGCCCAGACTGGCCTGGAACTTTCCATCCTCCTGCCTCAGCTTCCCAGCAGCTAGGATTATACTACCACACTAGACAACTATGAACTTGTCTATTATCCTGGCAATCAGAAGCATAACTGTATATTATCTCCACAAGCACCTTGCCTACCCAAAGTGATTTTTATTATACTTGTGAACTGAGATGGTTATAAATTAATACCTGCTTCTACTTCCATCTTACTTATGTTCAGAACTCCCATTCTGACCTGCAGCTAGAAGGCAAATATCTGTGAGATTCGATGGGACCATACACCCAGTTGAGAGTGTTATCAAATTATCGCTGTTAACTTATTCTTATTCCAGGTATAGGGGTTTTCCATAAACTTTATTGCCAGGGCAATACTTTATTAATAGCTTGACCTCTTATTAACACATTTAAAATAAGCACAGGAGCCTGGTTCAGAGGTCTTTGAGTGACTGATCTTTGGCACTTGGGTTTAAAACAAAACAAAACAGGGTTAAAATGGACATCTGTAGAGTGAGATTGCCTGAAGGCTGTGATACAATTAAAAGTTATTTATTTTCTAAAACAAAACAAAACAAAACAAAACAAAACAAACAAACAAACAAAAAACCACAAAATAAAACAAACCATCGTGGTGAGAAGCAGTGAGCTAGGACATAAAGTTCTCCCAGTCCTAGTATTCCAGAGGAATGTCTGTCTGTCCCCACCAGCACCCCCTCTCCGTCTGGACACCTCCTGTGTCCAGAATGTTCCTGCCTGATTCTGGGTTCACAGGGAGGGGGTGCTTGTGGGGACAAATCTCCTCACAATAGACTTATGGCTCAACAGACCCCATCTTAGTTAAGAGAGGTTTCAGGGAGGTAGAGGTCTTTAATCAGGGCCTCCCTTGAGATCAGAGCTTCAGCAGGAAGGCCCCTCCCTCTTAGTTTATTTACATGAGTTTCCCTGTTCTCTGTCTCCAGGTGCTGCATATCGTGCTCTGGGTACCAGAGATCCCTCCTGAATGAAAACTTGAACCATCTCTAAGCTCCCTTTACCTTCTGTCTCCTTTCTTTTTCTCCTTACCATAAAAACAAAACGACTGTGTTCCCTGCTCTGAGGTGGGGAGGGCTACTCATCAGGGATTGGATGCCAGGAGGGTCCTGTAAAAAAGCACAAGGGCCCACTACTCAATCTTTTCCCAGGTAAATGTTCACAGGCTCTTCTCGCCAGCGGCTTGGGCCAACTTTCTTGGGTACCCACCCACATTCTGGGTTACGCCCCTTTCCGGAAGTGAGACCCTGGACGCCGCTCAAAAGCACACAGGATCATTCTGGCAGGTGGGAAAGGAAGAGAGGATCCGTGAAGAAACTCCTGGGATCCAGTCACTCCTTTAGATGGAGCGTCCCCTGTCCCTACACTAGGGCTCTGGTCTAGGACTTAAGGCACCGGCTCACTCAAAGATGATAGAGATGCCAGACTCCCAAACCTCCCCAAATCTATGACCCCAAAGTCAGTATCTCCTTGGGCTCTCCCCCCTCCCCCATTTCAACAGTCTCAGTCTAGTGGAGAGAAAAACTCTGCAGGGAGCCTTGCAGAATCTCAAGCAGGAAAAATAAGATATACTCCTGAATTGTTTGAGTCCCCAAGGAGTCAGTGATCTGTGACACGTCTCCCATGAGAGGCCAAAACTTAGTTGGCACGCTGTAATGAGACTTGTAAATGAGGGATACATGCAAACACCTGTTTTTGAAGTGTAACCCAAATCTCCCCAGCAATATCACTATGCAAAGGCCACCTTTTGGGCTTTTTATTTTATTCTGATGAAAGTTCCGAGAAGACCTTCCTTGGGAGTGGCTGGGCAGAGAAAAGCTGGTTCGAAGTGCAGCTTTCGTGAAGGGTCGAGGTGGAGACCTAGCTGCCCTGTTGGGGCCCCAACGGGGTCACTCGCTCGCTGCAGGAGCCCGCTAGCCCACTCCCTGCTTAGCCTTGTTTGCCGCTGCTAGCACTTGCTGCGGGGCTGCCGGCTCTCACCGGCAGAGAGCTCCCTGGACCTGAGTTCCAGGCTGTGGTCACCCCGGATGCCTAGCTTGCTGAGCGCGCGTTCTGGCACCAGGGCTCAACAGGTCTTTCAGGACGCCATGGAGGATCCTGCGCACCTCGTTAAAGTCGGCAGCTGTGCCGGTGGCAGCGTCCCGACGTCAGTCTCGCGGGCCCCACTACAACCCCGCAAACTTAAAGGGGTGCCGTTGGACACCCACCACGCTGGCACCGAGTCACCAGCCTTGGTCTGCCCCTGAGGATCTCACGAAAAGGAGGCGGGTGGTGGTGATAAAGAAAAGAGAATTAATTACGAGTTCTGGCTAATTCAGCCTCTAGCATTGAGGTGTATGTACTTAATGAAACTCAATTAGGAAACTAGCGTTATGAAAACAGGTAGGGAAGATAATTGAGCCAACAGTTGAAGGGAGCTCTAGGAGCAATGGAGGAAATTTGTCCCACGGGTGGCTCATCTGTGAACTCACTCCTTTTAAGTTCTGAAGTTTATGACATAAAGGGAAAGGAGATTTTTAATAAAGGGGAGTGGGCACTCAGACTAAGGTCTCGCCTCTTGAGAAGACAAACATCTTCACACTCGCGTCGGAATGTCCAGAGAGAAGCTTTAATGGAGAACACCGCGTACAACACCAGCAGACAGGAACCAAGTGCAGTCACAACCCCAGCGCGGCGCGGACACAAGCCAGAGGTGATTAGAGCCAAAGAGCAAAGCTGATTCCTCCCCACTCCTTCCCACTTCGTTCCTAAAAGTTTGTTGCAAGTAAAGTGCTATTCCTGGGACTCAAAAGAGGGGGTAGGGCCACAGAGACAAGGCAATTTTCTTTTCCGTTCACAAACTGAAACTGCAGAATTTGCCTGAAAGACACAAGCGCCCAAACAGCACAGGGAATAACACTGAACTGCTGCAGCGTGCAAAAGTGACGGGGTCAGACTGGTAGCTTCTATCCAAGAAGGTTGGCAGGGAACAGCCCCCAACGCTCTTGCAAGCATAAAAAAAAGCAACACTGTTGGATGATGCATAAGTTTTTCTCGTATTAATGAGTCAAGAGAACAAAATCTCGTGATATAAGTGACTTTTTTTTTCTTTAAATTCCAGATAGAACAGATCGTGGGAATTCACTGTATTCTTGGGCTCCTCAAGATCTCCCATCTGATTGACATACAAACGAACTGCCGGTGGAAAGTCGCTTGTATTGTCTCTCTTTGGTTGTGTTGTTTCCCCAACTTTACTTTTGGAATCTGGGGTTTCGCTCTTTAAGTCGCTGCCACTCTTTTTTTTTTTTTTTTTTTTTTTGTATGCAAACTAATTGCTTTAGCGATTCCTCCTATCTTTCTCGACCCCCGGTCAGGGCCAAGAAACTCAACTGTTTCCCAAAGACCTTTCCTGTGCGCTCCTACTGTCTCCTCCCCGCTCAAAGTGATTTTATTCTTCACGCTGTGTTTTGGCTCATTTAGCTGACCTAGAAAATAACGGTATCAAAGGTACCCCTTTTTCCTTCTCAACTGAAAGGAGGTTTCCTTAGTGGATGGAGTTTTGTCTTGAATATTCAAGAGAGGCGACTGCCAAGGGATGAGAGAAACTTGGCGGCTGAAATCCGTTTCAGCATCACTCTCTGTTAGATTTCTCCGAGAGGTTCAGTTCAGTCAGTTTCTGCTCCCAGAAATAAGGGTCGAAATCCATTGTCAATTTGCCAGTGAATGAGGCTCCCCAACCTCCTTTGCTCCCTCCCCCCATAACTTATTGATTATAATAATTACAATAGAAACTCTTACCTGAAAATTGACTTTCATTAATCTGATTGTACAACATAGTATAAACACAGACACCAGGAGAGTTATGTTTATTCAGACCACTGGACAATCCACTTTTCGGATTTTGTTCGCTGGTTTAAATACCTTCCTTTAACGCAAAGCCTCGGACTCGCCAGCTCTGCCCGGCCTTCTGAGGGCGCCCTCTCCCTCTGGGGCGGTAGGTGCAGTTCTGCGCCGGGTGTCTCTTCTCGCGTTTGTTTTCCCTACCCCGCCGGGTCACTTAGGAGTGCACCAGAACCGAGTGCAGGGAGCCGCCCTTGCTCTCCGCCGCGCTTGGAGCGGTGGGCTCCAGCAAAGAGGCTGCGGGCGAGGCTGTGGAGGCAGAGCACACCGCAGTTGGCGTTGGCGGCTGCTGTGAAGCCGCCGGGACCGTGAGCGCCGGCGGCAGCGCGGTCACGGGTGGTAGCGCAGGTGTAGGCTTGATGGGCACCGGCACAGCCGGCAGGCTCTGGCTTGCTGAGTGGCACAGGGCCTTGACTGGCACCCCGAATGCCCCGTACTCTGGGCCTACAGGGACCC